AAGACAACAATGTGCAATGTATAAATTATTGTGACTGTACTACTAACCTGTTCTGAAACAATCCCATTGCTACTTCTTTCTCAATAAAATTGTTAAAAATATTAAAAAGGAGTAGAGTACTCTTTCCTTTTTTTCCTTTTCAGTTTTTTGAAATAAGGACTCACTGCATAGGTCGCACAGGTCTTGAACTAACCATGTAGCCCAAGCTGGCCTACAACTCATGATGATCATCCTACCTCAGCCTCCTGAGTGCTGGAATTACAAATATGAACCACAACTCTCAGGGCATGCATTGCTTTTTGCACGTAGGCAGGGGCCTCTGCCCCACACACCCTGGGCCCACAGGACATGGGAATTTTCCTGAATCTCAGCTATGACTCACATCAGGGCAATACAAATGAAACGAAGAGGCACCGTGAGCACACAGAGGATGCCCTTGCTCCTGCCAGACTATGATGACCAGGGTGAGTCTCTCTGTCCTCTGGCACCTTCCACTGACTCTACCTTGCACAATTCTGGCACATCTTGCTACATGTGTTTGAAGAAGTTACTGGCAATTGGCTCAGTCCTTCTTGTACTTATCAAGGGATGGATCAGCTGACATAGAGGATGCAAACAAGTAACACTTCCCTAAGTTGGTGTCCTTAGCCATCCTCTTACACTACAACACTGCCAGTGAAGGTCTGCATGAAAGACTGATTCTCCACTATTCACTTTCTCTTGGGAGGCAGCGTGAAGCCTAGACAGATCCCACATCCCATTCCTTCTTCTCAGTTGACCATTACCAAGTTCACTTGCAATGAAATCAACCACAGGAAGCTCAGATACATGCCATGTTCTTTATATACTTCACAGGGGCCTGGAAATTTTTTACCATGCAGCTTTTCTCATAAACAGGCTACGGATTGGGGTAGATTCCTTAAACATAGCAATTGAATCCCCAGGGAACATATCTCTATGCTCTTGGGTGAATTACATCAGGCTGAGGTTGGGCGTGTCCCTGGACGTCAGACCAGGTCTCCCTCTAGGCAATCTCCTGTATGCTCGCTCACTCGTAGCCAGAGCTCTGGTATCTAGCCACAGAAAACCTATGTGTGGACATGATCCAGCTAGGACTGCTGCTAAGCAGACCAAGGGTAAAGCTTGCGGTACACAGTCATGGCTTCTCCTAGCAGTAGCTTACCCCAAAACTTCTGTAGGATATACTGAGGGCTCACTAAAGGGGTGAGGATATCCTAGAAATCAGTGGAAGTTGGAGAGGATGGTTTAACAGAGGAGCTCAGGGCCACCATAGAAACCCATCAGCAGGGCCTAAGGGAGACAGGCAAGTGCCAAGCCCGGCAGACACAAGCAGCAAGGAACATTGTGAGTGGCTGTGTCTGTCTGTGTAGTGTGGGGCTTTGAGGTCCCTTCCTGGTACCTGGCCCAGGGGAAAAAAATGGACAGAGCATTGAGTCCACAGGCTCCTCTGACCTTGCAACTTGTGAGTCAGCCAAAGTATCACTACAACGTCTACACTGTGGTCATCAGCAGAGCCCCAGCACTGAGCCTCCTCACAGTCAGTGTGTAGAGGTGACCTCTCCATGTATCCCTGCTGGACTCTGACTGTAGTGAACAGCTCTTCCCTTGAAGCCAGCCTGCAGGATGCCTCAAGTAAGGCAGGATGCACCTGATACTGTGAGAAAAGCCAGAAGTGACTTACACTCCTATTTTTGCAGGCCTGGCCATGGTTGGAGTGGGGGGCTTGGCCTGTGACTGTTATGCCCCTCCCCTCATTTCCTCTTAGTTCTTCAGGGTTCCCAATGCACTGGGACAAATTCCCTCAGTGTGCTACCTGGCTGTAGGGCCACCACTCTTCTCCACTCCATTTCAACATGAATAAAGCACAAGGGGCATCACAGAACTCCTGCTCAGCTCCTGCCACTTCAGAGGATGATGTTGTTGCTTTGGTTTTTTTGTTTGTTTGTTTGTTTGTTTGTTTGCTTGCTTGGTTGGTTGGTTGGTTGGTTGGTTGGTTGGGTTTCTTTAGGGAGGAACCATCCTATGTTGGCTAAGGTCAGAGAAGGAAAGACTTCAGCTCATTTTTAACATCCACATGCCCCACCGCTAAATTGGTAGTGGATTCCCTCATTCCTGCGTTGTCTTTCACTGGCACAGGCCTCCAGCTGCTGCAGAAGCAGCACTCCCCAGGACATCGCACGTGAGTCCAGGAACACTCTTTCCACTGTTGCCCCCATTTACTTCAGTTCAGGCTTTGTTCACATGAAGACTGGCTTTGGAATTTCAACCTGCTTGTCATTTACTTCTGAGGTCATTGTGCTTTGCAAGTTCTTAAATCTGCTTAGGATTCTTACCATGAGTAGTGTAAATAGATTCAACATTGCAAAAGAAAGTAAATAAAAAAATTAGAGCTTTTAACACAGATAAGCTTTGGAGAGCAGAAGCCCACAAAGAACCAGAGCAGACACCATATCCTGGTACAGTTGAGCTCTGGTATGTGGATCAATCTGGCACGAGAAGGTGCATTCAGGTAGAAGCAGAGACCAGCAGAGGGAAGAGCCAAGCAAGAGAGTCCAAAACAAGCTGTCATTAGATGCAGTGGGTGGAGGATGAAGGCCAGCAGTGGCAATGCCCAGCCCCTTGCTGGATCAATGGTTGACATCCAGGGATGCCTGGTATCTCTTACTGACATCAGGACTGCTAGCCGAAGTTCTCTTCTCTTTGGCAATTTTAGCAAGCCTTTGCTTACTGGCAACTCCTCTGGTGGCTCTAGCTCCAGCTAGAGTTGGCTGGGATGGACCAGAGTTCGGCCCCTATTCTACTGCAGCTGTGAGCATGGCTGTCTTGGCCTCACTCCAGCAAACCTGGTTTGATACATGGCACCACTGGAGTTCACATCTGCCACAAGTCCTCGTATTCTTTCTCTCAACACCTCATCTCCATGACTGGACTAGGGCAGAAGACAGGAGGCAGCCAGACCAAGAAGGGTAATGAGATTTCAAGAGCTTCAAGAGAGGGAAAGACTGAGAAAGAGATGAGGACAGAGAGATGGGATTGTGCCAGTGAGTCTGATGGCCCCATGTCAGTGCAGAGAGAACGGGCCCTGCAGAGATCTCTGTCTTACCCTCACCACTTCTGCTCACTTCCAAAGTACGGAAAGAGAGCTGCTCTACTATGGATGCTACACATAGATTCTTTCAGGACCCAAAGTGTCGTTATACAAGGGTGACCCTCACTTTTTGTTCTTATTCTTCATTTCTTCTGCTTTTTTCTCCTTCATTTAGTGATTATTGCATTGAGCTATAGTCTCAGCTCTTTAAATTAAATGGTCTCCCCAAATTGTCCATCCTTACCTCCAACTTGCAATCCTCTTGCACGAGCCCCAAAAATGCTAGCTCACAGACACCCAGCAGTACAACATCACTCAGAATACCTTTAATGTCATAGCAAATAGTGGGGGTGTAGCCCACAGGGCAGGGAAAGGAGAGGGAGAGAGCAGGGATTAGGGGAATGGCAGGTTGTGAGACCATAGCTTCGCTCTGTGTCTCTGTCTTTTTTTCTTTCAGCCTGGATGTGCAGGGTACAGTGAAAAGTTGATGCAGGTGACTGAAGCTGCACCCTAGCCACTAGTTCAATATCCCTTTCTATATCCACCACCATTAGGGCCTACCACCGCTAAGCACAGGCTGGGGTCCATATATCAGGTAGGTGGAGCCAATAAGGACCCCTTTAGTACCAAAGAAAGTATCCTCAGCCCAACCTCATGGCTGCCTTAGAGGAGCAGCTGTTATCCTCTTTGTTTCACCTGCTCAGTGAGACGCTGCACAGAGCCTGGGGTCCATTGCTGCATCCTATGATGCATTGAGGCCCCTAGTGAGCAAACACATTCCCTCAGGAACAAGTCTGGAATCAGCAGTCTTGTGGACACTTCTGACACCGTAGGCATGAGCCTCTGGGCTCCACTGCACAAAGATGTGGTCAATGTCAGTGGGTTGCGCTGAGTGAACTGTCAAAGACAAGGCCAGATCCTGGAACCCTATGACACAAATGAACTGTTGCACATAGCAGCAGAGAACAGCCCACCTTGCTCTGGGCAGCCAACTGCCCCACATGGACTCCTGCTGGGGCTCTGAGGTGAACTGTGTGTGCAACTTCAGAACTGGGTCTGGCAAGAGGCCACATCAATGAGAACTGTACCTAGCTCTGGATCGCAGCCTGCTGAAATCACAAAAGAAGACAAGACACAAACAGTCCTGGGCTTTGTGGTCTGCTCCTTAAGTTGTTGCAGGGTGTGCTAGAAGAAAGGGACTCAAGATAGCTCAGCATATTCCAGGGCCTGGTGTGAGGGTGCTTTGAGATCTATGTACAGAGGGCCAAAGCAGAAACCTTGTCTTTCTTCTCACTGGAATTTCAACTGTTATCCCCCTACCTTTATTTAACCTTTAAAAAACACCAATAAACTTACTTTTTGGTTTTTTTTTTTTTTTGGTACAAATTCTTACTACAGTAAACCACCTGCCTCATGCAGGTATTATCGGCATGTACCACTAAGACTGGGGCTATTCTGCTTTCTGCCATGTATGGAGCGTTCTTTGCCCCACACACTCCCTCCCTGCTATCACAGGGTCAGAGATGACTGCTGGTCCAGTCCCAGCTGAGACCCTCATGCAGGGTCATTCAGATAAAAGGAAAGGACCAAAAGGGCTCCTGTTGCTCCAGAGTGTGATGCTCTGGCAAGTCCTTTGTCCTGTTGCCTTCTCTGTGCTCAAACTTGCACAATCATGACCAGAGGTATAAAAACAAAAACAGCCAAGTATCTGACCACATGTTTCTGATAGATTTGATGGTAGCTGCCTCACTGTTTCTTGATTTAGCAAAGGATGGATCAGCCCCCAAGAGGGTGTGACACATTCTGGCCCATAAATAGTTCCTGTAGGTTGGCTATTGAAGTGATCGTCTTCCTTCTCCAATACCTTCCAGAATAGAGCTGTCCTGAAACCATGGCCCTGGCTCTCCTGTGGCTGGGCTTCACCCTGTTGTGGGCCCTGCAGACTCATGCTAAGTATTCCCCTCTGTATCAGAACCTGAGTCAATCTCTGGGCCCATCTCTGAGCATAAGCTCTCTGCAGCCAAACTTCAAGGCTGACAAGGTAAGGGCTCTACAAGAGTAGATTTAGAGGGAATTAGGGGACAGGAACAGAGGTAGTGAAGGGATGGAGGGGCAAATGGACCCATGGGAAATGTTGGGGGGGAAGTACAGAACTGGGGAAGACCAGAATCACTGCATGCTGGGGCAAGGTTGTGGGGCACCTTCAGTACCTTTTCACAGCAGAGAAAACTGAGGATACCAAGGCTGACCAGCCACTTGCTCAGGGTCATCGCATGCCTGAAAACCATGTATAATGTCTCATCCAGGGTCTATCTGAGTCCTGAGAGTTTCAGAGCCCCCACCAGATGCACAGTACATCCAAATGCCTGGATCATTCAACCCAGAGGATCAACCAAAGGAACCAGCAGGACAGCACTGGAGGGGTGACTCTGGGACCACACTTAGGCTCTAACTATCATCAAACCTTTGCAGTTCCAGGGGAAATGGTATGCCATAGGTGTGGCAGAAAGCAATTTCCAGAATGGAACAGAGAGCCAATTAGACATGTACAGCACAGAGTTTGAGCTGAAAAATAATTACAGCTACATCGTCACCTCCTTAATGCTGAAGTAAGCTACAGTCTCTTGGGATTCTGGCAGCCTGAAAGATATCACTGCGTTACTGGGTTCTAAGGTGCGGGTGGCTTCTTTTCAAGGTGATTTCTAGGTCTTTTTGAGGGAAACAAGCATAATCAGTGTCAATGTTTCATACATTATTAAAAGTAGGGAATGCAAACAGAAGGTAGGGGGATGGGCTCCACAGAACTAGATGAGGCCTTCTTAAAAAAGGAGAAAACAACTAAAAAGCACCCAAGAGCTTAGGGTGGGCTACTGTGGAGAAACACAAGAGTGAGCCCCGAATGGTGACTCTCTTCTATTTCCCACAGTGCCACCACTCATAGGTCATCCTATTAAAAACTTATTCCTGTTCACAGATGAAATCTACACAGAAGGGCTCTGAGACTAGTTCTTGCATGTATACCAAATCTTGTCACACTGTCACACCTCCTTTCCTAGTTACTTTTTGCTATACCATGGCTTCCTGCCTTAAAGGGTAACCAAAGCTGATGTTCTCACTATTCTTTTTTTTTTTTTTTTTGTAGCCAGTGATTGAACTCAGACCCTTGCGCTTGCCAGGAAGCTCTTATTCCACTGAGCCATCTCCCTGACTCCTCTTTTTTATTTTTTCATATTCTCACTATTCTACATAAAATCAATCATCTTTATTCTCTGCTCGCCCTTATTTAGTTTTCTATTTCTCTCTTTTCTTACCTCTCTCTTTCCTTTCTTCCATCTGTTGTTTTCTCTCTCCTATTAAAATGTGTGAGTGATTCCAGTGGGATCACAGTGTCAATAGAAACCAGACAGAGAGTGAAGAGTTTCAGAAAAGGAGGGGGGACTGACTCTGGGCCCAGCTCGCAATCCCATTAAAAGCCTCCATCTAGAACTTGTAGGGAAGGAACCATCTTGCCTATAATCCTGTTAGGTTAAGTAAGCTTCAGAGGCTGATGCAGAAAGATTGGAATTTGAAGCCAACCTCAACCACTTTGTGAGAGGTTGTCTCACAATAAAAAAATAAAAAAAAATTTAAGAACAAGGCTGGTGATGTAGCTCAGGGCAACAATCCTGGCTTGAACCTCCATTACCACTACAGACACTAGTAGCTTCCATAAATAAGCCGAAGTGGTCACACCTGAGTCTACTGAACAAAGTCAGAGAGGCTCAACTTAGGTGACAGCAAACTAGCTGACAACCACCGTGGCCTCCTGAACAGTGGCAGATGAGCAGCCAGGAGGGAAGTGTTCCCAGGCCCAACCTGGAGCTTGTGATCCTTAGCCAGGGCCTGCCCTGGGGCTCCTGCAAGTGACAATTCTGGGCGGGACTGCAGTAGGGACATGGAGAACTTGGGTGGGAGATGACAGAGGTGAGGAAGATGAAGTCTCTGAAAGGGAGTCCCAGGGTCATCCAGCTGCAGTATATGCACTGTGTTGTAGCACTGGTCAACAGTCACTGGGTAGATTGGAGTTGAAGTATTTGAGAATTGTAGGAAACAGAAAAGCAGGTTTGGGGTAATGGCTCTGGAGTGCAAGGATGGTTTAGCCTCAGGTTAGAGGGCAGGTGTGCAGCAAGGAGTAGGGAAGTGCTTGGCATGGAGCAAACTAGAGCTGAGTGGAAGTAGCCAGGAGAGATAGGAAAGAGGAGCAGCAGGATGACAGGTGAGTGGGGATCACTGCCCCAGTCCTGTGTGTAGCACAGGCTACTCCAGGGAGTAGAAAAAGAGAGATTCCAATGACCCACATAGCAGGCCAGGCAAAATGTCAGAAGAGAAGATCCATGGTCATGGAACAGTGGGGTGAAGGGACAGAGCAGGGGACAGAATTTTGTGGACTGCACTGGCCTGATATCTGAAAATCCTGTCGCATTCCACCATGTATGTAGTTCAGGGGGAACAAGTTTGCACAGTCCTCCTGCTCACAGTACCTCCATCTCTCACTCCCACAGGGAAGATATCTGTGAAATCTGGGTTAAAGAACTATCCCCCTGTGGCCATCCTGGAGAGTTCACCCTGCTAAATAAGCATGGTAAATCCTGAGAAAAGGGTTGTCCTGGAGTTGGAATTTGGGGGCAGGGACTTGTGGAAGAGCACGGACCTCCCTACCCTTCACAGAGGATTCCTGTAGGGAGAAAGCCTTGCCCACTGCTTGGAGAGGAAGGTAACTCCCTTGCTCCCTGGCAAGGGAATGAAGGACTCTTTTCTGTCCACACTGCAGAGTACAAAAATATACAGAATTACACTGTGAGAGTGGTATCCACTGACTACAAGCGCTTTGGTTTGGTGTTTCTGAAGATGGTTCTCCCGAACAGCGTGCACCTTGATGTCACCCTCTATGGTGGGTCCTCACTCCATCCCCTCAGGAACAGGGCTCCTGGTCACACTAGATCATAAATTCCTTTCCATTCTGAGCCTCTCTCAGGGCAGATACCTTTTCCAAACCCTTCTGTGGGAATGGGTCTGAGGTTGAATTCACTCTTTCAATGGTATTTATCGATTAAGCCAAAGATGATGGTTATTGTCTGTCATTACATTCACCTTGGAGTCAAGGACACGTGACTGTAACTGTAAGACCAGCTGGAACTACATGGAAAGGTCTTCCAAACTGCTGAAAAAGAATTACAGAGTTCTAGACCTGGTGTGGTGGCACATACCTATAAGCCCAGCTCTGGGGAGGTTAAAAATGGGAATATCACTGTGTGTCTGAGCTGCATAGTGAGACCCTGTACTGAATATTGAAAGAATTTCAGAGTTCTTTCTCTTGATAACTCATACTCATCTTGGATATAGGGAGAACCAAGAAGCTGAGCCCTAAACTGAAGGAGAAGTTTGTCAAATTTTCCAAGTCTGTGGGTCTCACCATTGACAACATCATCTTCACGGACCCCATAGGTAACGGCCAGCTGGGGAAAGTGGAGTGGAACGTTGGTTGTGTCCAACTCTGTTGTCAGACCAGGGAAAGGAGACAGGACAGGCTCAATCCCCTCCTCTAGTCTTTAGAGAGGAAGTGTTCTGCACACATGACAATTTCAGTCCCAGATCCAAGATTTCCCAGTCTCATTGCCCTGGGCCACCTCCTGCTACACACTGGACCTTCCAGTCCTGAGCCATCTCCCTTCCCTGGGAACTTGCTAATTCCTGAGGCAGATAGGTGTTGTGCCAAGGTCCTATCAGCCAAAGACCACAACACACACACACACACACACACACACACACACACACACACACACACCATCCTGGTCTAATGTTCTTTCTCTCCCACAGAAAGGTGCATCGATATCTGAACAGCAGTGAGTATGGCTGGGTAGAGGGCTGATGGGAGGCCAGGGCAGGGAGGCAGGGTTAATTGGGCCTGCCTTTCTCCCTCTGCTCCCCTTATGAATGCAACCATCTTTTCTCTGTTAGCTTGTCAGTGTCTCCAGTACCTGTCCATCCTATTCTTCCTGTCACTACTCTGCTCAGTGGTGTCTGGCAGCCCCACCAGCCATAATGCCCATGAGAGCGATGAGAGACCCTTCCTCCAGCACAGTGCTGCCCACACAGCTGAAGCAAAATGCACCTTGCTGATGGCGCCTCCATTATCTGCTAAATAAACACATGTGCCATGTTCTGCTAGCCTGCTCTCCTTGTTCTCTGGGCCCAAGAAGGGGAAGGACTAATGGTGGTATCACACAAGTATCACTTGCATGGGCCGCTGACCCCAGAACTCTTCCTGATGTTAGAGTGATACAGGGAGAAAAACAGGTCTTGGGTGGGTGACCTCCAAATGATATAGGGAAGCACCAAATGACATAGCAAAAAATGATCTCCCGGCCTGACCTGCAAGAGTTCTTGTTCTCTAAAATGGAAGAATGAATTTTAGTAACAAATGGAGGTTATGAGCAGAATATATTTATTGAAGGAAAGAAAGCTCCTGTCCAAGAGAGAGACAGGAAGGGGACCCGAGTGGGTTGTCCCTGGAAAGCTATCTCTTCTAGGGACTTTTATAGTGTAAAGCCATGCAGGGCTAAGGTGGAGAGAATGGGAACTCACTTAGGTGGACAAGAGGTGGAATGAAACTATGATCAACCAATGGGATTGCAAGCACCATTGCTCAGGTAAAATTGATTAGGCCCAGCACCAAATGGGGTAGCGAGTCACATCGTAAGTGGGCATGAATGTAAAATGGGAAACTATCAGGTAGCCATCCAGTAGTAGTCGGATTAATATCTTCTGGCTCCCTCAGGGAGAGGATCAATCTCAGATGCCAATCTTTAGGGAGGTCAGTATTTGTTTGATCTTTGGTCTTTAGGTCTGGCCCATGGCAAGAGCATCCATTGCTCCAGAGTTGCAAGATAGCTTGTCTTTTGTGTTGTCTCCTGCGAGGGCCTGGCCCTATCTGACTGCCGATAATATGTGTATGTAACTCGGCTGCCTACAACATTCCCCCCTCTGAAGAAGTAACCTGAACTGCCATGAAGGAAATATGGGTAATGACTGCTCTGACTTCTTCATGCTGAAAGGTGTTGTAGCTGTTGACCGGCAGTCAGATATATTCTTCAGAGGTTCTATCTGAAGGCCCTCAGTAGATACCAGGCATTTTCATATTGGGTAGACTTACACCTTTGAGTCTGGAGGAGAAAAAGCTGAAGAAACAGACACGTGTAGGTCAAATAATCACAGCAGGATAATTATGAAAAAGACAAGTTAGAACCTTTTGTAGTTCCATTAGCAGATATCTCTTAAATGTGGGGCTTAATCCCTTTTATCTTCCATGGCCATTGTATAGTAACTCAAACAAACTAGACTTTTTACTATGAAACACCTCAGCTCAGACAAATTCATTTCTGCCTACCCTTCTAACTTCTGAAGCTTGTGTAAGACAACAGGGGCCCACTGAGCAACATGTAACTTTTTAGTGTTAAGGCCTCAATATGTGTCTCTATAGACAGAATATGGTGGATTCTAGTTAAAGGAATCTCAATCTAACATATTCATTATAGTTTTTACTGATATGATTACCTGGGTTTTGTATCTTCTAGGAAAGAACAAATTTTCGGAGAAATTAGAGCACATGTAATCAAAGCATGAACATTCGAGCTAACAGGTACATTTATAAACCTTTTTTGAGACCTAGCAATTGTAACTCACTAGTTCTTAGATACCTTTATTCATGGGGTTTGACAGTGTACTATAAGTCTCTCTAGCTTTAGTTAAGAGAGGTCATACAAGTATTTACTATCAACACGAAACACCTGCATTACATCAGAAATCAACCAGACTAACATACTCTTACCATGAAATACACAGCATTCATTCAGACTAAACCAATGAAATACCTCTTAAATTTTGTACATGAACAACAATACATTACATTTGTAAAAACTAGTCTTAGCATAATTATGGTTATTTAGTAACCTGAATATATTGCATTACCTCAGTTACAGCTAAAGCAAGATGTATGTCTTAAAGTATTGAGGTATGATGACTGGAAGGACGATCAGGGTTGGAGAAGGGCAAAGAGACCTGTGCTAATGTCCAGAAATAAGCTGCGTTTCTTTCCTTTAGTCGTAATTACTCAGGACTCCTCCATGAAGATGGCAGGTAGAGATAACAATCTGGCCAGAGGGAGGAGGCAGGCCCAGTGCCCTTTAGTCCTAATGGACCATCTGGGAAGCTGAGTCTGAGCTCTGGGGCCTCTGCCTCAGAGTGTAGTCACACTTCTAGTGGCAGCCTTGGCAGTCAGGGAATGGCTTGTAGACCTCTTAAGACAGTCCCTCTTACAGTGGCCTGGCTTCTGACAGTGGTAGCAGATGGCCCTCATTGCTGTTGAGATCTTCTTGGAGCCAAGATAATCAAATGTAGGGTCTGTTTTGAGGCCACAACAAAGGCAGCCATTTTTTATCTCTCTGCTTTCTCTCCCTGATTTTCTCGCAGTTCTGATGATAGGATATTATTTCCTTAGTGTCCTATAAAGTACCAAGTGAGTTGTCTGGAACAAAATCTATCATTTGTAGCTCTTGTCTAGTATCTGGAGCTGACTGAGTAATTAACTTATGTGTAAGAGTCATCTGCCCCTCTATTGAATTAACATCTCACAAAGTATGTCTTACCAGTGCCTCTATGAAACATTACAGGAAATCAGAGGGGCATTTATCATTCTGGTAAATAGCTAAATTTAAAATAACTAAAAGTTATGGGTTTAGTTCTTAGATCTACAAGAATACAACACTTGAAAGACAGTGTCTTTTCTATTTTTCCACCTGGCTATTAGCAGCAGGGCTCTGACTGGTTGGGCTCCAGTGGGAACAAGTAATTCCACTGGTTGTCCATCTTTCGAGTTCTCATAACAATATAATACTCCTCTCCAAATGCAGTAGCAGCTTGTAATGCTGCCTGTATTTTCATAGAAGTCAAAAGCTTGGTTTAAAATTAACAGTATATCCTTTTAATCTGCTTCATAAGTCTGAGTAAATTGTCTAAAGACATCAATCTAATAATCAGGGTCATCTAAGGCACATGAACTCTGGAAGTTCCAAACTGCATATTTACTTCTTTAAAATGTATTGTCCTTGAGAAGCTTGGCTAAACCCAGTTAAGAATTAGTGTAGCCTTGTAGAGGCCTGGATTACAGCTGTTTTAGAAGCCTACCCTTTAAAACGGCAAATAATGGAAACTTTACTTTCAGTAATGGTGCACAAGGCTAAATTGTCTGGGTCTCCTGTTGCTCACATCTACATTTTAAAACTTAAATAACAATAACTTTTTAATGCAAACAAATATGAACATAAGATATTTTTACCATTTTCCTTTTTGCATCATTTTTTAGTTATAAACTAGCATCACAGTTGATACTTTCCTCTGCATTTCATTTGGATTAAACAGCTCTTTTTCAGCATGTAAGGATCAAACATTTTCTGGTGCCTAATGAAGCCCTCTAAAGGAGTAAGAGACTTTGACTGTGAGATCCCCATATCTGGAATACAATAAGAACATTTAGGGCATTTCCCCTCCTTATTTCTAATTGATTCCTTCCCCCAAGGTGTCCCTTGAGTAACCCTCTCCAGAGCAGGTGGATGCTCGTGTTGGAGAGAAGGGAGACAAGATCCCATCAACCTATCCACCCTCGAACGGCTGTGGACTCTTATCTCCTGAACACGTCTCACAAACCCTTCACTTACTTTTACTGACCATTTTGTAAGTTAACAGCTACAATTAGTTTAGTACTAGAAATGTGTACAGAAGGAAGCATAACCATGACGCAAAAGGTCAATGAGAAGGGAGCAATTCTCAGGCTATAAAAATCACCCCTAGAGATAGATAGAACAATTGACTGGAGGGATTTTTCCCCATGTGCTGAGCCAATCTCCGGACACTTGATTTCCATCTGATCACCTAGGTAAATATTTTTAGCAACTAAACAAGATTTAACCTTGAAGCTCACAGGTGAAGCTTATATTTCATATCAACTAGCATCACATTTTACATATCAGTGAAAACACAATACAGCTGGCAAATATTTCTTACTTTTAGTTACCACTTAAGGCACAGATGTAGACTTCCCCTGATAACCACTATTGCAAGCTGCCTCAGCCTTATTTCTGAAAGAGTGACTCATTAACTTGTTCTACTAAAAAGCTCAGGTAGAATTCCTACTTTACTAACAGAGAGAGAAAACGTACAATAGGTGAGTGGAGATCTTTCAGTGGTCAAGAACCAGTTTCCACCAAGGAACCTTCAGGTATGGCCATAACCCCTCAGGTATTCTCAGTTCCTATTGGCTCACACAACCAGAGATGTCTCCAGAGAAGAATCCAACAGTTTCTCTGGTCAACATTCCATCAGCCATAGGCTTCAAAGGGGATTCACCAATGAATGGCTGGGGAAACCTGTCTTCTGCTTCAAAGAGTGGCAGCTGCTCTAAGAGCATTTACTAGCATTTACTACTAGAGTAACCACCATTTGTCCAAGTTCTATAAGGGATAGTTAAAAGCCTGAACAAGATTACCTAGTACTTTACAATCAAGGCTTTAAAGTCTACAACTTATCTCTTATACACCTATTTGATATCTAGACCTTAGGAGAAAAAGTTGTATCCTCCCTTACACTAAATGTATTTTGGTTCCATAAGTGTGTAGCATGTGGACATAGCTCCTTCTGGTGTCACCCAGAAGTCAGTTCTCTCCACTGTGTCACAGGTTTAATCTCCTTAAGGAGACATGCCCAAAACACTAAGCCGGGACATGGCTTTTGTATGTGTTCACCTGGACAGGCCTAGTTCCTCTTTGTCTCATCTGACCCAGAGGAGGGGTATATGTCCTTTTTCTAAAATAATTTCCCTGTCTTTAGCTCTAAGAAACACTCATTTTCTAAGGGCTCTACTTAGTTGGAACAGTCAGAGTTTTCCTAATTTTACATGCCTTTAAAAAGGAAAGTACAAAGAGGTAGAAAAATTAGGAATAAAGTCAAAGCAAAGAAACTGAAACAGAGAAAGCCTGACATTTTCTCTAGCATGTAGAGGAGGATCAGAACCAGTCTACTCCAGTGAAACCTGTCCTCCAAGTCTTTAAGAACGGTTGCCAACCTAATGTCATTTAACTGGCAAAAGGAGTCCTGTGTTTCATATACAGGCATGTATATTTTCTAGGTCTGAGCTATCTAAAAGTCCCATTTTAGAGAAGTTTACATAAAGTCCACTAGGAGGCTTACTAACTTTACTCTTTCTAGTGCTATTGTCTAAATTCAAGCAAGGAATTTCAGTACATTTAGTAACAAGTTCAAACACAACATATACAAGTACACCACAGTCATAAAATGTCCCATTGATGAAATATTCCCACATTTTAACTTAAATTTACTGACAACATTGTGATCAAAATTTTAGCAAACAATATAAAAGAAGAAGCAGAAGCAATTGTAATCAATTTTAACAGAACTGCCTGAGGCAAAACTGTATGAAGCAAAGCATGAACAATAATGAGCAATGAGCAAAGACATAGCAATATTTGAAGCATAAAAATTTATTACCTAAGCAAGTCTCAATCCAGAATTTATGAAAGAAAAGCAAACTCATACCTCTGTCCAATGATCTCGTTGGGACCTCCAAAATGATACAGGGAGAAAAACAGATCTTGGGTAGGTGACCGCCAAATGATATAGGGAACCTCCAAATGACATAGGGAAAAATAATCTCCAGACCTGACCTGCACGAGTTCATATTCTCTAAAACTGAAGAATGAATTTTAGGAACAAATGGAGGTTATGAGCAGAATACATTTATTGAGGGAAAGAAAGCCCCTGTCCAAGACAGGGACAGGAGGGGGCCCACGCCGGTTGTTCCCCTGGGAAGCTGTCTCTTTTAGGGACTTTTATAGTGTAAAGACATGTGGGGCTAAGGTGGAGAGCATGGGAACTTGCTTAGGTTGACAAGAGGTGGGACAAAACTATGATCAACCAATGGGATTGCAAGCACCATTGCTCAGGTAAAATTGATTAGGCCCAGCACCAAATGGGGTAGCGAGTCACATCGTAAGTGGGCATGAATGTAAAATGGGAAATTATCAGGTAGCCATCCAG